TTCTTTCTAATGATGTGTCACAAGATAGGGGTTACTATTTGAAAAAAAAAGTTGGGGGCCCTTACGCCTCCCTCCTCCCCCTGAGGGAGGGACAAAAATTTTGATCCTCCTAGAAGATGTCCTCTTTGAGATAGAAACATTCCCGAAGTTTCGTTTTTCTGTCTTCAACCGTTCAAAAGTTACCAGGGGGTACGGACTTTTGGGACACCCTGTACATACAGGGGGTACGAACTTTTGGGACACCCTGTACATACAGGGGGTACGGACTTTCGGGACACCCTGTACATACAGGGGGTACGGACTTTTGGGACACCCTGTACATACAGGGTGTCCCAAAAGTCCGTACGCCCCCCCCCTCTTGTAACTTTTTAACGGTTAGAGATACACAAACGAAACTTTGGGAATGTTTCTATCTTAAAGGGGACCATCTCCTAGGGGGGGGGTCAAAATTTTTGTCCCCCCCCCTCAAGAGGGGCGCGGGGGCCCCCAACTTTCTTTTTTTTTCAAATTGCAACCCCTAGATTGTGATACATCATTCGAAAGAGCATAATAAACTAAGAATTTTGGCGCAAACCGCAGATCAATATCTTAATTTTTGACCGAGTTATGACAGGTTAAATTTAACCTATTTTCAAAAAGTCATAAATCCGGCTCAAATTATCGTAAAGAAAAAACTAAAACGGGAAAATTTACCAAAAAGTACGCACTTTCAAGTAAAAAATTTCAAGTAAAGGACAGAGGGAGAAGAGAGGGGAAGAGGGGAGACAGATAGACGGACAAAAAGGCATAACAGTGATATCACACTCGGTTTGTCTGTCTTCCTATTCATAATATATCCATATACAGGGTGTCCCAAAAGTCCGTACCTCCCCCCCTTCGTAACTTTTGAACGGTTAGAGATACAAAAACGAAACTTCGGAAATGTTTCTACCTTAAAATGGACCATCTTCTAGGGGGGTCAAAATTTTTGTCCCCCCCCCTCAAGGGGGGCGCGGGGGCCCCCAACTTTTTTTTTTTAAATTGCAACCCCTATCTTGTGATACATCATTCGAAAGAGCATAATAAACTAAGAATTTTGGCGCAAACCGCAGATCAATATCTTAATTTTTGACCGAGTTATGACAGGTTAAATTTAACCTATTTTCAAAAAATTATAACTCCGGCTCAAATTATCGTAAAGAAAAAAATAAAACGGGAAAATTTACCAAAAAGTACGCACTTTCAAATTAAAATCCAAGAAATTACTTCAAAGTAATTTTAAGGGGGGTTTCGGACCCCTGAATACGTCATTTTAAAGGTCATGCGATTTTCCCGCGAAATGAGCCAATTTCCCTTACTTTGCGTCAACATTTTCTTGGTAAGTTCATAATTAGTTCATCATTGCGTTTTCAAGTCCCTAAATTTCGGGCAAAGTTTTAAAAAAAAAACGAAATCCAAATGGTTGAATTGAATCACCTTAAATTTCGCTTTTTGAACTTTGCCCGAAATTTAGAGACTTGAAAACGCAATGTTGAACTAATTTTGAACTTACCAAAATAATGTTGGCGCAAAGTAAGGGGAAATCGGCTCATTTCGCGGGAAAATCGCATGACCTTTAAAATGACGTATTTAGGGGTCCGAAACCCCCCTTAAAATTAGTTTGAAGTAATTTCTTGGATTTTAATTTGAAAGTGCGTACTTTTTGGTAAATTTTCCCGTTTTATTTTTTTCTTTACGATAATTTGAGCCGGAGTTATAATTTTTTGAAAATAGGTTAAATTTAACCTGTCATAACTCGGTCAAAAATTAAGATATTGATCTGCGGTTTGCGCCAAAATTCTTAGTTTATTATGCTCTTTCGAATGATGTATCACAAGATAGGGGTTGCAATTTAAAAAAAAAAAGTTGGGGGCCCCCGCGCCCCCCTTGAGGGGGGGGGGACAAAAATTTTGACCCCCCTAGAAGATGGTCCATTTTAAGGTAGAAACATTTCCGAAGTTTCGTTTTTGTATCTCTAACCGTTCAGAAGTTACGAAGGGGGGGAGGTACGGACTTTTGGGACACCCTGTATATGGATATATTATGAATAGGTAGACAGACAAACCGAGTGTGATATCACTGTTATGCCTTTTTGTCCGTCTATCTGTCTCCCCTCTTCCCCTCTCTTCTCCCTCTGTCCTTTCCTCCTCCCCTCCCCCGATTTCCTTTTCCTTGTGAAAACCATTATTGATTCCTGCGAGTTCCAAAAGAGTCCCTTTGTACCCACAGCTAAGACATCTCGATTATCAGCTGGCCTGGACTGGCCATGGTGTCACAAAAGTGTGTACCCAAACGAACGATATTGAGAAATAAGGATAAGGAATCCTGCGATGTCTGTCGTCCAAAGACAAAAATATAGAATAGACGCAACCAACCATTAGAGAATCTTAAGGTGATTCGGCAGGCGCCTTTTTTTGTGTCAGAGTGACGTACCATAGATCGCAACGATTCGTTCCATAATTTCAGCTTCTCGTCATTATTTTTTTTCGAATTTTGAGATCGCACTTCTCTTTTCATGAGACTAAAGAATTCCTATACCTTTGACAAAGAAATTCAACGCAATAAAGGCAGGGTTTTTTTAGAGTAAAATTCCTGTCTTGATTAAGTACGTTCAATTTCTTGGTCAAATTTGGTACATGAATTCGTTTGTCTCATGACAAGAGAAGTGCGATCTCAAAATTCGAAAAAAAAGTCGTAGCTGAAATTCTAGAACGACTCAATGCGATACATCGCACGTCGCTCTGACACAAAAAATGGCGTCCGTTGAATCACCTTAAATGCGATTAATGAACCTGGGTGTCAAACTACCAATTATACCTATGCTGCATTGGGAACTAAGGCCCTCAAAATGAGGGGGGGGGGGTACAACTTCGAGATGGGAGGAAATCTCCATAGACACTTTTGATCAGTAGGTTTAGACCTACAACATACCAATGAACTAGGCGAATTAACCGGGCCCACTTTTTTCATAAGGATGGACCGTCGTTCTTAAACGCTCTTTCAGAATCTGCTGTAATTTTTTACGTAGGGCTAGCCGTTTTAGAGGAAACTGGAATGTTCTCCAAACTTTGTCTATTGATTCTCTGATTTATATAATGATCTTGACCTGCATCAATGTCAAATATCACTTTTTAAGAGATGCAGCTGAGTGTAACATCATTACAGTAAACTACATTTTAGCGGAGGATATGGTTGCAGACGTTCTAACTAAGCCTGAAGGCTCTGTAAAGTATGAAAAATTTTCTAAGGGCTCAGGTCTTAAATAATTCACTTAATTTTTTTTTCAGTGTTTACTTTCGAGGGGTGTGTTACACATCAGTATGTGGAGTTAGCTTCACTGTATAGTTCATATTCTCCTGTTTGATAGTAAGTGCGGCCTCTAATGGCACTATGCTGTGTCTTGACGCTTGTCTCTGGCTATATGTCTCATGTACTTTGCTTGTTGTTTAGTCCATGGTCTATTTCTGTCATTCCTGGAATAAATCGGTTGTCTTTCCTCAGATCATGTGCTTCTCTCTGTTGCCTTCCGATCCTGAAAAACATTAAGATTTTATCCTCACTTATCACAAACATGTACCTACCAGAATGTCTACTGAGGTCCACAAAAAAAAATTAAGTACCTCTCCTTGGGGTAAAATTGGGTACTTTTTAAGTACTTTTTCACGACGTAGCATACTTCTTCAATAGCAATTACATTGATTAGGTTAAGTTAATATTACATAACTTAAAATTTGAATTTGACTTGTGCATTAAATTTTCTTCAAAAAAGGTACAAAATACAGGCTTCTGAAACACATACATGCAACTAAACGATATAAGTATAGGCTTTCAAAAAAAACAACCAAACTGATAACCATCTATCTTCCTTTTTGTTTTAAATTATTTTTAACCTGAAATTGGTGACGATGTCATAAACATTAAGCAGATTAGGAGGAAACACTCTCCAAAAGAGATTCTATTGAAGTGGTTGGAGCTGTAGCATAATTTGAAATTTTTATCGGTTTTTTTTTTTTTTTTATTTTTATTTTAGAAAATGTATTACATTGCTGTAATAGGAAAGACTTCTTTGACTTACATTATACTGAATACTTGAGGTACAATGCAAGGATTAAGTTTTTGCCAAATTATGTGGGTCAAAACTTGCTCAAATATTAAAAATAATCGGTTGTTTCCGTTAAATCGCCTTTCAATCTGCCGTGATAGCGAAGGGAGCCATAAGTGCATTTCTGTATGGGCCACGGATAGCACATGCTCTAATGCGGCTCGACGCTCATCACAGATAGCACTTACAGCTCTCTTCACTTTCACAGCAGCAATGGGCCTGTTGCAAACTTTTGCTAGAGCAAAAATAAGAGTTGTTTCTTGTAGATAATGCCTCAAAAATCACGATGAGCGCATCGGCAAAGTCTGAAATGCACTCATAACTTCACAATCTGCGTAAGAAATTTGCGTTTTTTTAAGCTTCCCGCTTCAAAAACGATACTACGGCACAGGTGAACATTTTGTTAGAGGAGTCGCTCCATCGTAGGCGATATTCATCATGGCCGACGCTTGCTCGCAGTTCCGTGCGTGATTCGAGGAGAGTTCAAGGTCAATCAATTCGGGCGTGGAAAATATGAACGTTAACACACCGATTGTTATCCGGTCTAATCCAGTTCAGGTGTTATATCTCGTCCCATCAAACGTGTTTCGGCGGATTGGCGTCGGCCATGATGATTATTGCCGACGATGGAGCGACTCCTCTTACAAAATGTTCACCTGTGTCGTAGTATCGTTTTTGAAGCGGGAAGCTCAAAAAACCGCAAATTTCTTACGCAGACTGTGAAGTTATGAGTGCATTTCAGACTTTGCCGATGCGCTCATCGTGATTTTTGAGGCATTATCTATAAGAAACAACTCTTATTTTTGCTCTAGCAAAAGTTTGCAACAGGCCCATTCCTGAACTCCACGCAGACTTGCCTATACTTGCCCTTCTGTTACAGGATACAACTCATTGGCGAAACCAAGCAAATCGAGGATGCTCATTGGTCACTTCAAGGTCAGATGGCTGCACAACCGTGCTCTTGCGGGCTGATATTGTTTTACTAATGCGTCTGACGGGCAACGCACAGAGATTGCATAGCTATCAGGCGATCGAACTGAACGTATGGCGCAAAATGCGAAAAATTACGGACCTTCCGCGAAACTTTCGTACTTTTTAAGTTCTTACGGAAGGACCTAAGGAAAAGCATACTTTTTCCGGGCTTTAGGGACTGGTAGACACCCTGATCTACCCTCCAGCCCACCAGTTTAAGCTGACTCCCCCCCCCCCCCCCCCCCCCCNATATAGAGAATTTTTTACTGCTTTAAAACAGTTTCTTCTTCTTCAGAAAAAAAAAAAGATTGAACACACATTACAACACATTCATATCATTCTAACCATTTCTTAAGTTGGGGGTCCCCCCAGCTGATAGTCGGCCCAACTATCAGCTATACCACCCTTGAAAGGGAAGGAATAAGGAGGGTTAAAGATATTTCGACAAGTAAGATATCTGAATAAATTTACTTTTATTGATGTTTGATTATGAAAGAACTTAAAGAGGAATTATTAATTCAGAATTGGTAGAACCTTATGTACATTTTAAAATCGCAGAACAACCTTACTTTCCTCATTATGCTTTAAGAATACTGACAAACTTTTAGGAGGAGACAAAAGGTCTGGCATTGCACTCAGAATAATTTTGCAGACACCAAGACAATGATTTGAGACTACAGGGCAAGAGACGAGTACAACATTCTTACTTTCAAGTTCAGATAGGTACACAGGCAATCTACATAAGTTTAACTGAGCTGAGAATTATCTTGGAATCACTTCATTACGAACTAATTCAATGTTTAATGGCCTGAAAAACTAGAAAAAAAATCAGATTTCCTAAGCAATAATTTTTAAAATCATGCTATGAGGAACAGAAGGAGAAAACTTTCCTAGTATCTCTGCTATTTTTCATCACCAGTCTCATTAGAATGAAGTTGACAAGCTTGGCTTTGGGCATCCTCTTAGATTAAAGGCTGAAAGAAGGACTAACAGAGACAAAAAGGATGTATAAATCACAATCATAGAGTACATTACGAAAATTAAAACTTCAAAAGTACAGTAGTTGAAGACTTAAAAACCTAAAAACATGGGAGCTAATGACATACAGTTTTTGGTACGAAAAGGGACAAAACCCAAATTTGGGAGATTCTCAAACTTGATAGGAACCAATTTTTGCGGAGGAATAGGCAATAAATTTAAAACAAAATCTTTCTACAGCGATCAGCTAGGTTTAAGACAATGTAGAAGGCAAACTAGATTCTCTCAAATAAGACATAAAAAACTACAAAAATAAATGCTTATCACTTTTCAATATCACACGAAATCTTAGAACTCTGTGAGAACTTCAGTTTTCATCATTTGAATCAGCAGATAGATCCGTTTTCAACACACAAATCTATTCTTTCTTGCAATCATGCCTAATGTTGTAAGTTGCCAACAAATTATCGCTCTTCTGGCGTAATGACGTAACTCGATTTCCGCATGAGCCCCAGAAAGAAAAGATTTATACTTTCAACAGGGATCAGGTGGAAATTGAGATACACCCTTACTTCAGAGGGGTGACAAAATGTGCATACTTCCCAGAAGAAGTTCATTTGCTTAGAATAAATAGGTGGACCTGTGCTGCCATTAAAATTTATGCTAAGGATGGAACATGAAAAATATGGAATGGGAAAAGACAATGCCTTGAAAAACGTTACAAATTTTCTCAATTTAGATGAAAGAGCACTTGGAAAAATATCAACAGAATTTATTACCAAATTAGGACAACTGAACAGAAAAACTAAAAAGTAGTAAAAAATGTGTCTTTTCATGATTTTAATTGAATAATGCCAAGAAACAACTTTTTTATGCTTATCATACAGGGTAAATTCACGCCTCTCTCTGATAAATCAATTTGAACACATATTGAGTAAATAATATAGACTATAATCAAGTTTCAACGACCGTTCATGAAAAAATTATGTTCATTTCAATATTTTCAATGGCACAGAATCAATCTTCTTGAAATAATATTGGAGCAGAAGCCCAATGGAAAAAGCATCCAATCACGTCCGTCTTTGATGGATGTGTCAATGTTCAGCATACAGGCTTTGAGCTTCATCCACTCATAACTACGGAGGCCAATGACTTCATGAAGAAATTAAATTATGACACTTGATTTGACCTATCATACTGAAGGCTTTAACAGAGGGCAGGGTTCATTCATCATCATCACAAGGATCAAATTGGATTGTGGCATATTCCCCTGTGAGAAGCCAATCAGGCTTGATATTGGTGAGATTTTCAGCAACACCCGGTTTTAGGCCAGAAATGAGGTCAGCTTTAACTGTTCGTAGTGAGAGGAGGTTGGTTGGGTGGAAGCTCTGCAGTGCCTCTCGGAAGGAGGTTGTTGGATCCCAATGGATGTCCGCCATGAGCTTCCTGTAATTCAAGTCACCTTTGAATATAACCAGCGTAGCTTCACCGAGTTTACCGTAGAGTTCTGGATCGTTTTCTTTCATAGCATCGAAGTCATAAAAGTATGTCCAAAAAGGCTCGGCTTCGAGGGACCAGATTCCTGAAAAATAAAGTTTTTTAAAGTGGAATGAATTTGACAACAACAACTTGGCTACTAAAATTTTACTTTGGATTTTCCTGATATTTTAAATGAAAGGACCCCGCACACCTCTTATGGGAAGCTGCACCATGACGGATTGCCTTCTGACTTATGTCATTCGATTCTCCTCAAGATGCTGATCAAAAGTTATAATTGCGCCAACTTTCTACGATGCACCGTTTTCGCAAAAAACTAAGAGAAGGTTCAATTATTCGGCGACTATGAATAAAAAAGAACAAAGCATTTGAGGACAGGCCCGATGTAAATAAGGAAAAAACGTAGCGCGTGTCCGTCTTCTTATCTGTACCTGCCGACTCAGGGGCTATCTCCCTCCCGCACTTGCCCGGTAGACGTTCAGACTTTCCTGTTCTTATGCTCCTCAAGAATCTGATTCGGATGGTCGAGCAAAACGGCGAGCGGAATCCGAGATAAGACTGCCGCTCAGTGCGGGAGTTCCCCTGATTTGTTCACTCTAGAGTACCTGTATAGCGAGAGTATAGACAGATGTGAAACTCCGAAAATCCATCAGGCCTTCACCGATGTTTCCGCGAATAAAGTTAGGGCCCAGAAATGCAGCCAACCTATGAATCTCAATTATCCAGAGTGCTTTACTAATACAATTGTTACGAACCATCGTTTATAAAGCACGTATTTGACTTACTTGTTGCATAAATTTACTCATTTTTGCGGAAGAACGCTCATTTATGTACATTCTTAGCCATCTTGGTTAGAATTGGAATGAGCAGACTGGCAGTGAAATTTTGTGCGTTAGAAGTTGGTTAGAAGGGTGGCTGCACTTTTGGGCCCTAAGCCCTCCATGAAGCGATCTGTCCATACTCTCGCTATATAGGTACTCTAGTTCACTCGAGTACTGAAATGAGGAATCTTTCTGGCTTTTTATCGCCGAATAATTGAATCTTCTCTTGGGTTTTTTTTGCGAAAACGGTGCATCGTAGAAAGTTGGCGCAATTATAACTTTAGATCAGCATCTTGAGGAGAATCGAATGACATATATCAGAAGGCAATCCGTCATGGTGCAGCTTCCCATAAGAGGTGTGCGGGGTCCTTTCCTGATTTTTTGTGAGAATAAATTGACACTGGTTTGATTTAACAAACCAACATTTTTTTTAATGAATTAAATCAAAGAACAATGCACACTCCTTGTGGGAATGTGTTCTTGGTTCGATTTTCAATTTTATTATTGCATTAACCTCGTCTATATGTGTTGATCAAAAGCCATCATTGCATCAACTTTCTACAAGCCACCGTTTTTGCATAATCTGCGTTTGAAGGTTCGAGAACTTTACCCCTGAGCGGCTGGAATCAAGGTATAACACAGCTTGTATCTGTCCGGCAAGGATGAGAGTGAGAGAGAAAAAGTGACTGATTTAAGACGCATAATCAAGGTGAATATTACTAATTACGGGTGTTAACGCCGCAACGAATTTCCGGCATTAACGTAACTAGCCGGCGGCTATGTTACACAACCTGCGCAACCTGGCAGCCATGCCGCCGCGACTCGGCGACCGGTCCAACCGGTCGTAAGTCCGTCCGACCCGCGGCGCGGCTCCCGGCCGCGTCCGACACGTCCACGCGTGTCGTCTATAAAAAGGCAGCCGCCAGGCGTGCGGTCATCACTCGATCATCACTCTTCGATCAGTCAAGTCCTCTGCTTGCGCTCTGATCAAGGCTCTCTGCTTTCGATCCTGGTCTTCTCTCCACGCTGCACGGTAATACATAGAATCTTTCTTTTTACCTTCTCTCTCTCTTTTACCCGGCTGAGCATCTCGGCTGGGACCTCTCTCTCTCTTTCTCTTTGGACCCCACTGAGTTTCTCGGTTGGGAAGATTTCTCTCTCGTCTATAGATGGCTGTGGGCTCCACACCGGAGCATGAAGCCAATAAACCATCATAGAAGAAGAAGAAGAAGAAGAAGATTTCTCTCTCTTCTCTTTTCTTCTCAACGCGGCTGAGTATCTCGGCTGATAGCCCTTGGGAGTATCTCGGTGGGATTTTCTCTCTTCCTCTCTTTTCTTCTCTCGGCTGAGCATCTCGGCTGAGATTTCTCTCATTCTCTCTCTTCATCTCGGCTGAGCTCTTTCTTTCTCCCTCATCTCGGCTGAGCTCTCTCCCTCTCCCTTCCCTCTCATCGCGGCTGAGTATCTCGGCTGGTAGCCCTTCTGAGCATCTCGGTGGGACCTTCCTCCCCCCTCCTCTTTTCCATCCTCCAAGGGCCATCGCTATGGACGTTGCGATCATTCGCGATCGCTAATCGTCCCCACCAGCTCTCCTCTTTTGAGAGCGCTCTCGGGCAGACTCTAGCCCCTCCGCTCCCCTCACACGGGCGTAAACAACGGGTACAAAATTGTACTGCTGGGAGGGTGCGAGATGAATGATGATGCTCCTGTGGGGCTAAAAGACCATTTTTTGAACAACTAAATGAGGAAATCAAGCAAATTGGGGCCACGACTGCGACAAGAAAAGTGCTGATCGTGGATCCGGATCATCGATAGCTGCCGTTGAAATGATTAAAAAATTTTAAACAGATTTTTCGAGCATCACAACATCCACAAATACACTTGGGTGCAGCCAATAGGAGGTTTGAGATCCATTGATGATTACGTCATTGTGAGGCAAGAATCTAAGATAATGGTTCGGCAAGTGAGAGTGTAAAGTAGCCTCTCATATGGCAGCGACAGGGTTGCCACAGAATTTAGAGAATGAAATTCCCTGATTTCTCTGTCACATTTTGGTAAAATTCCTGGACAATTGAGGATATGCCATATGCTTAAAAAGACATGATTTGGAATGGGCCTGTTGCAAACTTTTGCTAGAGCAGAATGAAGAGTTGTTTCCCATAGATAATGCCTCAAAAATCACGATGAGTGCATCGGCAAAGTCTGAAATGCACTCATAAATTCACAATCTGCGTAAGAAATTTGCATTATTTGGAGCTTCCCGCTTCAAAAACGATACTACTGCACAGGTGAACATTTTGTTAGAGGAGTCGCTCCATCGTCGGCAATATTCATCATGGCTGACGCTTGCGCAGTTCCTCGCGTAATTCGAGGAGAACTCAAGGTCAATTAAGGCGGGCGAGGAAAATTTGAACGTAAACACGCCGATTGTTATCTGGTTTAATCCTGTTCAGGTGTTATCTCGTCCCATCACACGTGTTTTGGCGGACTGGCGTCGGCCATGATGAGTATTGCCGCCAATGGAACGACTCCTCTAACAAAATGTTCACCTGTACCGTAGTATCGTTTTCGAAGCGGGAAGCTCAAAAAATCGCAAATTTCTTACGCAGATTGTGAAGTTATGAGTGCATTTCAGACTTTGCCGATGCGCTCATCGTAATTTTTGAGGCATTATCTGTAGGAAACAACTCTTAGTTTTGTTCTGGCAAAAGTTTGCAACAGGCCCATTTCACACAAAAGGACTACATGCAAAACGGGCCATTTGGGACTCGGGAAGGATACCTTTGAGACTTGCCCTATTCATTCACCTAACAATGCCCCATCTTTTCCCAAAGTTTCAAGCCCTCCAAAAATTTTGGGGAGACGCGGCGGGGGGTCAAAGTTAAAAACCGACAAAATTTTCGCGAATTTACTACTCGAAAACCAAGAAGTTTTAGAGAACGCGGTTTAAACGAGCGTATTCAGCGTGACGAGAGTTTTCAGAAAATGTGCTTTTAGAAATGATTTAAAAAAAAGCCATTTTTTTAATTTGATAAAAAACTGATATATGTTGTTCCTGATTCTCTGTAGCCCCTCTAGCTCTTTACCGCATGCTGGGGAAATGTTTTGGTCGCGAGTTATAAAAGCGGAAAGGAGCGAAGGTCGGGAAAATCGGCTATTTTAAACTACGCGCGGCGACGGATCAGGAGACATGTGGCAGCAATGCGAGGTCGGCAGAGGAGTGTGATTCGCCGAACTGAGTGGGAGGGGACGTTTTCCTTCCGATCAACGCCGCGCGCGCAGTTTAAAATAGCCGATTTTCCCGACCTTCACTCCGCTCTTATAACTCCCGACCAAAACATTTCCCTGGCATGTGGTAAAGAGCTAGAGGGGCTACAGAGGGTTAGGAACAACATATCAGTTTTTCATAAAAAAAAATGGCTTTTTTTTAAATCGGCCCAAATGTGAAAAAATAAGGGGTCTTTTTTGAGTGTTTCGGCGCTTCGGAGGCGATAACTCTAGCTGAAGTTGACAAAACCCTATGATTTATACATTTTCTGAACGCTCTCGTCACGCTGAATACGCTCGTTTAAACCGCATTTTCCAAAACTTCTTGGTTTTCGAGTAATAAATTTGGGAAACTTTGGGAAAAGATGGGGCATTGTTAGGTGAATGAATAGGGCAAGTCTCAAAGGTATCCTTCCCGAGCCCCAAATGGCCCGTTTTGCACGTAGTCCTTTATTTTTCGAAACGGCAATCCCGTTTAGAAGGGAAATAAAGGTGACTTGATAATTTTTCCCTGACATTTTCAGGTTATCCCTATCTTTTTCAAATTCCCTGAGATTTCCGGTGTTCCCTGATCGTGGCAACTCTGAGCGACCATCATTTTCTTGAAGCAAGAGTAGTTTGCCAGTGAGGAGCGGCCAGCAAGTGGAGCCTGTGCAACAAGTTCAGCGGCAAGAAAGAGTTGTCCTTCATCGAAGAGGTATAATATCGATAGACTCCATCATGATAGGGTTAGACATTTGTAGAGGCAAACACTGAAGAGCATTGTCAATTCATCGAAGATTGTATTCTCATACATGGCCGAAATTGGTATCTCGGTTATTTGCCTACGGATTTACCTGAAACTTGGAGCATTAGCGTATTTTGGCATGGAATTAACAAATTTGAAATCCTATATATTAAAATGCAAAGTTCCGAATCTTTGGGCATTAACTTTGAGAGAACCACCAGACCGATTTTCCTGATCTTTTTTTTAAATGAAAGCCCCTGAGCTGTAGAT